AGCATGCCAAATCAAATTTTTAAATAAAAATAAAAAAGAAGATAAATAAATAAATAAATAAATAAATATATATATATATATATATATTTATATATATAATTCTATCTAGACAGTGAATAAGACACATCACATTCTCTTAAAATCCTAAATTATACTTAGATTAGATCATCAAAGCAGCAGTTGATAGTAAGACAACATCAAATGAAGATAAGAATTAATACAACAAAAAAAAAAAAGAATCACATAAACAAACAAGAATTCTTATACTTTGAGTTCCTCATCTTCAATATCTTTTACAAGTGCTACTTTCATAAGATTCATGATAACGCAAATAAAATAAAAGCTAAAGACAAAAGTAGAAAGCGCTATGAAAGTTATAGAGAATAACGAAAATATCAGTAACCTCTATTATTTAAAAAGAAACGATTTATCTACTGTTTGGAAAATGAGGGTTCGGAAGGAAAACACTGTTATTATTCTATTATTTTGTAATTTTCTCTAATGTTATGAATATGAAAGATCTTCCTATAGGTAACACTATATATTTACTGCACTTGTAATTGCAAATATTTACTCTTAAAAAAGGGAAAAGTCTAAGATCGCTCTAATGAAAACCCAAACCCTTACCCAAATTTGAGAAAAGAAAAGGGAAAATACTTGATTTGGTATGGACCTCTCCAATGGAAAAACCCAAATTTACATGAAGATAAATTCAAATTTAAAAAGGATAAAATATGACCATTAAATTTTTAAAAGAGGGTATAATTTCACAATTAAAGATTTGAGTATGAATTTGAGTCTCCCTTAATTTGAGTAAAAAAATGAGTCGCTTTTCATTTGATACGAGCATGAGTCTAGTATTGAAAAAAGTTTTTAAGAGTTTTTTACTCAAATTTAAATTTGAGTTTTAAAAAGGATAAGGCTTGGAGATGCTCTAAGAGTTAAAGTAGAAAATAGGATATGATTGTCTTTACATAATTAAGTAGAGGTCTAATAAAAAATCAAAAGATTTTCTCATTAACTTTATTTTATTAATAGTATAGATATAGATATAACTATATTAAAAAGGTAAAATATTACAATGACTTTCAAGACAAGCCTACTAAAAGGCACACATAGTAATTCTCAATAAGTGTGATATTTATAGTTAGGGGTATTAGTTAAGTTGAGCCTTTTGAATTTAACTGCATTCGGGTTCGGCTCGGGTGATTCAATGAACCTCGAGCCAAAAACAAGTCATTCAAAAAAAATAATCAAATCCACAAATTTGACACTGAATTAAAAAATTCACAAAATTAAATTTTAACACAAATTTAATTATAAAATACCTCTAAATTATAGCAAAATATACAAACTTAATATATATACTACTAATAAAAGTATCTTAAGATGAAAAATTTTTGAATCTCTATTTTACTCTTATAAAGTATTACAAAGACTACTCTATCCTTTTACAATTAAATATCTAAATTACCATCATATCCTCATGCTTATAAATTTCTAAATTATCTATAACATCTTTTTTAATTATTTAATTAGTTTCTATAAAATGTTTTGATTGATTATATTACTCTTAAAAAAATATGCATCACTATATTTTCAATAAAATGTTCAAAAAATTAATCGTACATATAATTTTTAAAAATTAATTTATGTTATATCAGTATAATTCTTTAGTCACAATAAATTTTTTAAGTCGTACTAAGATTTTATGTAAAAATAGATATTATAGTATATTTCTATATACAACTTAAATTTTTTAGAATTTTTAGTATGTTTGATAATATATATTATAGAGTATTATATTAAATCTTATTCCAATTGACATAACTAATTCCTAATTTTAGCAAGGTTCCAATGTGATTAGTATATTGACAATTACTTTTACTTTATTTAAGGCATTATAAGTGAAATCATAATCAAATGAATATCAAAAAAATTAATTTTTTAAACATCACAAAAAAATCAATCTCAATCACAAAATTCTAAAAAAATAGAACTTTAAGTATTTCTTTTATTTTTATTTTTTTTAAATTATAACAAAGAATTTTGAAAACATACAAAATTTTCATAATTGTATAATAAATTATGAATAATAAAAAATGAAATTTTACGATGTTTGCAAATAAAATGTGATAAAGGGTGTTTCTTAAAGCCTTTTATACTCATTGAAGCCTAAAAGTACTCATTATTCTTATATTTTGATTTAGGATGCAAATTGAGACATTAAATGTAAAACAAAGCTAATTGGACTATTTCGACATCGTTTCGTTATCTGAGCATAACTCTCTTATCCAAGCTTCGATTGAGATGATTCAAGATGCTATATAATGATACGAAAGAGCTCTAAAACTTTCATGTTTTGAGTTTTGAGAGATATTAACTGCATCAAGATTTAAATCGAGCTTGAAGTTGTAGCAGTGCACTATTCACGTACACTGTTCACAGTTTGTCTTCGTCACTTTTCCATTTTCAATCCATTCTTAAGCCAACCAAATCCATCTCAAACCTCTCCAATACAAATTTCTACACCAAACCTATTTAATACAAGTTCTAGGACCTAAAATTTCATATTTTCACTTATTAAAATCAAATTTCAACTATTATTTTCACTAACATTTTAAATTTCTATTTTTTCAATCTACCAAATTCAAACACACATCACTACATATATTCACATTTTTTTACCACAATTATTTACTATATATCTATATACATATATAAAAGAAAATGCGGGGTGTTACACAACTCCTACCACCATCACCATTACTGCAGCCTCTGCCACCCCACCACCACTATCGCCACAACCACCATCGCTACCACCACCACTACCCTATCACCCCCACTCATCACCCACCATAACCACCGTTGTCACCCACCATTATTTGCTACCACCGCCGTCCATTGCCACCATCCACCACTATCACCATCTCTTTTTTATATTTATTACCACTACTACTTTCATCCCATCACCATCGTCGCAAACTACCATAACCCACCACCACTTGTTGCTCATCACCACCCACCACCGTCGCTATTTCACCACCACAACTACCAACCACCACCACCTGTTGCCCCGTTTGGACTGGGGATAAACTATATGTATTGAATAGTGGATGTATACGAAGATACCCGTGTGGGGATGTACTTACCCTTACCCTTACCCTCGCTCTGTCTCTGCCTTCGTTACCCGTTATATATATATATAGGTCACGTGTAGGTCATTATATTGATCACGTATAAGCTTCTTTACTTACTGAGAGAACAATTTGGCTTGGGGTAAAATCACGTATAGGTCATTACATTGATCAATTACTTCTTCATTACATATTGACTTTTTTTACAAATTAAAGAGGAGTTCACCAGATGAAATTTCTTGGCATAGGTGTGTTTATAAATTTTTATTAGAAGTTCCATAACCATAAATACCTTTTATATTGGGCTTTTATCATCATTTACTTGCATTCCATGTGTGGTGTCATTAATGGATGTCATAATTTCATATCACATATATGACATATCTGTGGGTTCCTTTCTTTCTGTCATTTTAGCAAATGTTTTTGGAACATTATGCAGGCCATGGCCTTGTTGAAACAGACCACATCAATTTGCATGGAATTGTAGCTAAGTATCTCTCAGAATAATTCCCTTGTTTCAACATAATCGAGTGCAAAGAAAAGAAGACACACTTTTTATATTGTTACATCTTCTATTTCGATTATAGCAAAAAAAAAAATTAAACTATTTTAATTCTTATGACTTTGCTTGTGCTTGGGCGGGTACGGGGAAGTGAGGATGAGGACGAGATTATAAATTTACCTGCGGACAGGGATGAGAATGAAAATTATACCCGTTAGCGGGGGTGGACCAAGGATGAACGAAGGTATTTTAAGTGGGTACGGGGATGAAGACTATACCCCACGGCTGCTACCACCACCACGGTCGTTGCCACCCATCACAACCATCATCGTCTCTTACCACCACCATTACTATCGTTCGCTCCTACTACAACTGGTGTTTAAATTTTTTTTTTCTCTCTTTTATCTTTGTAATTTGATTTTAGATGTTAATACATATATGTTTATTTTTTATTATTTTTTTTATTACTCCATGTCTTTAGGCACAAAAAATAACTAGTCTATAATATAAAACAAGATAGACTTTAATAAGTTCATCTGACTGTTTCAGATAGACTCATCCAACGGCTACCAACATCCCTTAAAATCATTCACATTTCACCGTGTTTTCAGTCATGAGTTACTTAGAAACAAACTTATTTGATTATTATTTGCGTAACAAATATAATTATATATATTAATTTAATTATCATTTGTGTAACAAAGGCAAAATTATGTATTATTGAACTCCTGGATAAATAGTCTAATTTTAATACTACACATAATATCAAACTTCACGAGAGAAGGCTTTGAAAAATTATTCTCCTTAAATACTAAATTCTTATAATTTTATTTTTTAAATAATCTCCTTCAATAAAACTTTTTTGAATGTCATATACAACTTTTTCACTATTTTTAGGTATTATTCCACATTTAAGTCTTTCACTATCTTTCATAACAACTTCATATTTAAATTTTTTTAATAAAAAACTTTAATTCAACTCATTAATAGAAATTTTTTAACTAACGTTGAGATGGAGAGTGAGGTAGATTGAGAATGACAGTGAGTAGAAAATTATAAATTTTATGTATCATACGAAGCACCCATTAATATTAAAAATTAGTATATTTGAGAATGTAAATCTGCCTTTTTATTTTTTTTTTAATTTGATCAAAAAGAAAAAAAAAGAAAGTTTTTTTTTTTTGTGACAAGACTAACAATTGATGACCACCGTGGCATTATTAAACCTAGCATTCGAACCTCCTCGTCTTTTCCGTAATACTGGCCGACCCGAAGAAAACAAAAATGACGTGTATTTTGTGGAAAGAAAAATTGGAGAATTTATAGGCTTAATCAATTATTTAAAGCGCTCGGATACTATTCTCCGTACGTGTCACCATCTGAGGCTCATAGATGTTTTTTCGTTTGTTTCTCGCTCAAGCTTCCTGCCTTCATCTTCAACCTCCTCAATCACTGCCAGAGAGCAAAGAACTCTCTCTCACTCTCTACAATTTGTTTAGAAATCAGAATATGTGTAACAATCTGAGATCGGGCCCATTTTGGATCGGGAAAAATAGTCCCAGTCACTCACCGAAATGATAAGTGTGTGTGGATTTGTATCGGAATGAAACTTAGGGTTTGTTTTTGGGTTTGCAACTAACAATTCCGATGTAAAAATGTAGGTCATGCGTTATTAGTGAGTGATCTATGCTGAAGAACGGCCAATTTGGGAAATCGAAAGATTACATTGTCATAGGAACCTTGTAACTTTGTAAGTAATTCCGTTCTTTTTTCTTTTCACTTGTTGATTTCGATCGCGTTCGTCATTGTGTTGTGGTTCGCCTTTAATTATTAGTTAGAAATTTCTTTTATTTATTGTTTCGTTTATGTAATTATATTCTGCTTACTTTGTATAGACCCAAAAATATTTAGTCAAAATTCATTTACTTTTTGTCTCCAATGGAAGTAGTATAAGAACTATATTGTTCTGCTGGAAGCAAGAAGGATCACTCCTTTATGTTTTGTTTGTATATATGTGTCTCTGTGTGTGCATTTATAGATCTGTAGATACATCCATTTCTCAGAGCTGTCGACATTAGCTCTCCATTTCCTTTATTTTTGTTTTTGGTATAGTGTAGAGGAATGAACGTTATGAACAAAGTTTCTTCTTTCTGTTCCATTATCTCATTGGCAACTTATTTGAAGGCAAGTAGTTCATCTAAGCTAGAGTGAACCTGAAACATTTCGACTGGAGAAAGTTAATGGGAACTTGATTTTGTGATCTCTACAATTTACCTGAACAATATAGAAGATTCATACTGTATCAAGAAAGGATCCATGTCTTTAGAACTGCTCTGTGTGTGTGTGTGTGTGTAGAAGCACAAAATCTCAACACCCTCATGCAAATTCCGGAACCTTGTTTTTATCTCTTTATTGTTAAATCAATCAACTTTTATAGTATGTGCATTCTACATTATGTGTTAACTCTGAATTCTACTTTTATATGCGTTGATATTAAATTGATCCAAATTATGCCTCGTCGAATCTGCATATGATCAGATAAACGGAATGTTGTCTATGTACTAATGGTGTTTTCTAATGTAGTGTTAGCTTTTGATTTTCTAATTCACTGAAGCGGAGGTTTTGAGCTTGGTCTTCTGAATTTCTGCAGTTTGTAATTGTTTCAGTGCTTGATGAGTTCAACTGTTTCAACATCTCGAGGGATACTTCCACCAGCAACGGCGGGGGTTTCTGGTCCTTTTCTCCATAGTGAATCACAGTTTAGTGAAAGTGATGAGACAGAGTTACTCACTGTATCATGGAATCAGGATTATGGTTGCTTTGCTGCTGGGACAAGCCGAGGTTTTCGCATTTATAACTGTGATCCTTTCAAGGAAACTTTCAGACGTGACCTGAAAAGTGGGGGATTTGGGATTGTTGAGATGCTGTTTCGGTGCAACATTTTGGCACTTGTTGGTGGTAAAGCCAATAACCAGTATCCTCCAAATAAAGTTATAATCTGGGATGATCATCAGAGCCGGTGCATTGGTGAATTTTCTTTTAGATCTGAGGTTCGTGCGGTGAAATTAAGACGGGATCGCGTTGTTATTGTTCTTGAGCATAAGATATACATTTACAATTTTATGGATCTGAAGCTTCTTCATCAGATTGAGACACTGGCAAATCCCAGAGGACTTTGTTGCCTTTCACATAACTTGAATACTTCTGTAATGGCTTGCCCAGGTCTTCGACGAGGACAGGTGCGGATTGAACATTTTGGGCTGAATATGACTAAATTGATTAATGCGCATGACACTCAGATAGCATGTATAACCTTGACTATGGACGGGCTGCTTCTTGCAACTGCTAGTACAAAGGGCACTTTGATAAGAATTTTCAACACAATGGATGGAACTCGATTACAAGAGGTATAGTTCTGATTGCAATATCTGCATACTGTCTCCCGGTAATATTCTTTTTTCTAGGTGGTACGGTGTTATTTTTGAGCCAGTTGACAAACTCATTGTTCTTTAATATGACAATTATTGCCAATATAAAAAGGTGCGAGTAGATTCAGACGAAATCTCTTCTTGTCCCTCTAAATGTGATGTTTGCCCATTTATCCTAGACCATCAAATTTGACTACTGAAATTTAGCACTTGTATTTCTTTGGAGTGTGGAGAGCATTAAAATTTTGTTGTCACAATTTTATGTGGAATTTGTCAATGGATTAATTGCATCTCCTGAATATAAGGGCTTCTATGGACAGGTCAGTAGTTATGTAGCTCATTTGTTTACAAATAACATTGCACGCATCAGCTTTATATCAACTGATGCATCTGAATGATACTAGCCTTCTTACTCATATATGGCTATATGACAACCTATCTCCAAGAATAAAGTTCCCATTTCTGTTCTAATGTCACTAGTATTGTTCTTTGTTAACTTGGGTTTACACCCTTATCTTACAGGTTTCTATGTCTTTGGATGAAGTCTTTTTTCTATTTGTTGTAATGCTTTACACTCATGAATTTTAGATCTCAACCTGGTTCCAGTTTGAACTGCATTTTGATAGTTACCATCTAGACAAAACTTGCTAATTCCAATATTATTGAATTCTTATAGGTACGCAGAGGGGTGGACAAAGCAGATATCTATAGTATTGCTCTCTCCCCAAATGTACAGTGGTTGGCAGTGTCAAGTGACAGAGGTACTGTTCATATATTTAGTCTCAAGGTGCGTGTTGGGGAGGACCCATCAAGTCATTCCAGTGCCACTCAAAGTCCAGCACTGTATTACCAGAATTCTTCAACTTCACTCGATACTCTTATTTCTCCAAATACTGGTGCCAACCCTGGCTCATCATTATCTTTCATGAAAGGTAAGAGAAGTGTGTCCTCCAATATTCTTGGTATACGAAACTTGAGTTGATTATTAAAAGCTATCTGTGCATTTGCATTGCTGGTGGATGGAGACTATGCCTAGATGGCATCAATTCAATATAACACTTCGTGACATGCCAATGAAAGTAAAAGAATCTTGATAGTGACAAACTCAGTGAACCCCTGGAACTTGAAACGATTCCATTTGCAGGCTAGGGTATTGTAGCCTTGCATATTTACTCTTTTCGTGCCTGGTTAGCCAATCTAATCTATTTATCCTTGGGTGTACACTTGTCTCATTGTTGGACAGCACAAAAATGTTATGAAATAGTTCAGGTTGGAAGTGGTTGGTTTTGCGTAACAGAAGTTATTGAATTATGGAATTTTTGTATGTGTCCTAAAGAGTCTAATGTTTCTGATATTTCTCCAGGAGTTTTACCAAAATATTTCAGCTCAGAGTGGTCATTTGCTCAGTTCCACTTACCAGAACACACACAATTCATTGCAGCATTTGGATCCCAGAACAATGTCATTATTGTTGGCATGGATGGGAGGTATGCAGCAGTTTGCTTTCGTTTTCTCACTTAGATATTACCGCTATGAATATGTTACTAGATTATAACTCAAGCCAACAAAGTGCTGTTGCTTTTTATCAGATATCCTGGTGAAAGTATAGCTTCCCTCATATATTTTTTAGTTGTGATGGAATAGTCTTAGTTATTCTAATCCTTTTCTTTCTCCCTGCCCCATCATCAGTTTCTACGGGTGCAGCTTTGATCCTGTGAATGGAGGGGAAATGGTGCAGCAAGAATATGTCCGTTTTCTAAAAACAGACAGTAGGCCGAGATAGGGCTATCTCAACAATTTTATGAGCAATACTCTTCCCAACCCAAGTGTATACGGAGCCTGGATGCCATTTACATAAATCTCCTGTATCTATCTTGTTTATGTATATCATATCAGAAACAAGCTAAGCCCAGAGACTTATAAATGTCATTAAGTTTTTTCAAGGGGCAATATTGTTCTTGCTGGACACTCGGTATTCTTAATGTATATTCAATTAGGATCTGTTGTTCAATACAGTAATATTGCGTTTTTCTATCCAGTTTCAGCCTCGGAAATTCCCCGGTACCTAGATTACACCTGGACTTATGTAGCAGAATTCCGGGAATTTGAATCAAGCATTTGGTTTCAGGGTTAGGGAGTGTTTTTGGTTTATCATCTGATATGAATTGTATGGTTCCAGTGCTTAGACGTGCTTGGTTGCCGGCGTGCTCTTTAGCCGGAGCTCAAAATTTGCTGGTGGGTGTTTGTGGGTCTTCGATGGAAGGTTTGATATATTTTTGAGTAAATCCCATTTTGCCCCCCTTGAAAACAGTTTGTCCTTTGAAAGATTAATTTTTTCACATTGTATCAAAGAAATAAAAATATTATAATGTGATCAATCGTCTTAGTTTTGTTTGGTCATCCGTCTGTTTTGTAATTCTTAATTGACTGATTTGGTACAAAACACCAAATGAAAAATAAGACAGTGAATCACATTTTAACGTTTTTATTTCTTTAAAGGGACAATGTAAAAAAATTAATCATTCGGGTGATAAATTAAAAATTTTTGTATCTTTCAGGAGACAAAATAACATTTTTCCTCTATTTTCCGGCTTTTGCTTGATTGAGAGGCGATGGTTCTACCTACAAGCTAGGCATCTGAGTGATGACACAGCTGTACAGTAAGTTGCAACCTAATCAAATCCAGTCGCAATTCAAATAGGTATGAGATCAATTTAGAATCAATCCCAAATTTTTGACCTCGTTGATTTTGAATTCAACTTTTTTCTGTTTTTTGGGTACAAATTTAGGACTCTTGATTTTTACATCTAAGGCACACAAATTGCTGTTCAAAAAGAACTTAAAAAGTGCTATAAAATGATTCAACTGTATGCAATGGACATGTTTCTAATGGAATCCCAGTGCCTTCGTTTCTATAGAGTTGCACAAGAAACCATATAACTCAGCAACATTAACATTTATATCCTTATTTATTTATAGTCTATGTTTCATGAAATTGATTCCAACTGCCACTTTGATGCTTCAGAAATGAACAAGCTACCATCCATTGATGGTCAGTGATAGAATGGCAAGTTCTAACATTTACATATAAAGGAAACCATTCTCCTCTCAACCACTCGTGAATTCCGACCAGATCAAAGCTTCGATCTTGCGGATTTATGATCATCAAAAGCAAGCATCACCTTTCCAATAACTTTTCTATCCTTAATAGCAGAAAAGGCAAGGTTGGCCTGTCAAAAAGATATTATTATTAGATCAGAACACAAGGCTAAAAAAATTAAAATGGAACTACAAACACCAACTAAGCACAACAAACGAAAGAGCAAGAATCATCTTTGATTTTTTCACAAGGGAAAACAAGAAGGCTGCTTGGGAAATGTAAGAACAGCTCAGCTACTGATAAAGCTGTCGGGTTTTGTAATGCCCCGTGTTTTGCGTTTCACAGTTAAAGATATGATGTGCTGTTATCAGTGAGAAGAGAAGCATCAATTTGGAAATACATATTAGTTCACAAAGAAGAATGAAATGAAAATGACAGATAATTCACATATTGAAAATCTGGCAATTTAGAACAGGAAGATAGGTCATTCCAAAGACTGATTGCAGCCAAATGAACCAAGCCATGAGAAAACTGAACTCACTTCTCTTCTGAGCAATGCAGCTTTCTTTGGCCTTAGTATCTTTTTATTTCAGGTTTGTTTGTAAGAAGGTCGGATAAGGCAGGAGTTTGATTTCAAGGGATATGATACATCAATATTTCAGCCTTTCAAACCCACCAAATATTTTATTTCGAAAGAAAACAGAATATACCTGCCCAGCCCCTCCAACAATAGGACCGAGTATAAGCAAGGTACCATAAGTAAATTGAATGGAAGTCCAATACTTAAACATAGTTCTTAAATGCTTGAATTACAGTTCGTTTCAATGGTTTATGGTACATGTTCACAATCCTGTTCGGAGTGTGAAATGCAGTTACATACTTACAGTGTTGGATTGACTGATCCAACAAATTTTTCCAGTAGTATAAGGATTCAAGTGTCTTTTCATTCCCATGTTGGTTCACATTGCGACGAGTACCATAAAATGAATAAAGAAGCTGAGTATAGAACTTCACTACAGGGCAAAAAACTTTACTCAGTTAAAATAGAGAAAGAAGGGAATGAAGTGCAGAGCTCCTGACCTCAGGCAAGCTGTAAGTGTGAGAAATGTGGATAGTAATTAAGCCCCTTGCCAACCAGGACAGTAACTCCTCAAGAGAATCTTCAAGTACATCTGGGCGATGTAATTTATAGCTTCCCCAGTAGAGTCCATGAACTGTCCAGTTCTGAAATACAGCACCAATGCAAAATAATGAAAGATGAAAAAAACATCGAAACTGACTGAAATATAAATCAAGAACCTAGGTTAGATTTGTTGGTTTGATGGTGGAAATGGAATCCAACCCTTCCTCGGGGAAGTTAGACCTTCAACTGCAAAATTGTACCTTAACAAGAGCAATATTTGCAGGGATGACAGGGACCTCTCCACTCGCAAACCCTATGACTAAAATTTTTGCTCCCCAATTCAAAAGCTTCATTGTTTCTTTCGTAAGTGCACCTCCAACGGGATCGTACAAAACATCCACACCTTTCAGTTTTCTCGTCTTTAAGAATCCCTTCACACTTTCAGTGACGTTCCCTTGGCTCAAGTCAACAACATGATCAATGCCCAGTGACTTCAAGAACTTCACCTTTTCAGCTCCCCTGAAATTCAAAGCATAACTCAATCTTCAGTTATTCTGCTTCAGTGTGAATGAGGTGGGCTAATCAGAAGGAGGTTACGAACACTATAAACTGCTTCATAGAGTGTTACTGGGCAAGTACCTAGCAACAGCAATAACAACAGCACCACAAATCTTTCCGATTTGTACAGCTGAAAGCCCAACACCTCCAGCTGCACCAAGAACCAGCAGAACCTACAAGTTTATCACACTCATGTAAATGATTATGTTAAAAAAACATAAAAAAAGCCTCCACTGTGGTAACCATGTAAAAGAAGAACAGGGGATTGATACCTGACCGGAACTCAGTTGAGCTCTATGAACCAGGGCCATATGTGATGTTCCATATGCAACTGGAAGTGCACCAGCAGCAATTAGATCACATCCATCAGGTACTCGAAACCTCCAACACAATACAATGAATATATAAACAAACAAATAGTGCTTAAAATAATGGATCTGAGATTGATTATCAAAACAATTAAGAACACACTAATCAAAATGTTACACACAGGACAGGGGCAATAGTTTACTTAAAGGATCACCTCCATGCATTTACATTGCACTTCTAGTCCAATTTACGAAAAGACATTTGATTCTAGAATGTGGCAGGCAAACAAATATCAACTGTTATTCAACTATGTTGTCAACATGTAGCCAATGTCCACCCAGTTGCATTTTCTACATTGACAAGGCATATGCATAAAAATGTACATAACTTTATAATTCCACCCCCCACACAAGCACGCATACAAAATCAGAAGCAGAGTCAAATTTCTGTCAAATTACCCAAACTTCCATTTTCTTTCAAATTGCAAGGCATTTTCTATGTGCCACACTAAATTTTTCACAAGACAAGAGCACTTATATGCTTATACACAGCGTGTGTGCTTACGTGCAACTATTAACTACAAGCATTAATAGGCGAATGCTGATCATACCCAGTAAAATTCCATTTGTATATACTTGTGTTAAGACAAGAACAACATCACACACCCGCAAAGATAAGCCCAATCCAAACAGAGCTATACAAATACGGATGAAACTGCAATTCATATATATGTGTGTGTGTGTGGATAACTATATATAAATTTGACTTACAATTCACTCTCATCGACGACGATGTACTGGGCAAAAGAGCCGAGGGCGGCCAAAGAACAAACCGGGTCACCGATTTTGAACTTGGTGACATTGGGACCGATGGATTCGACGATGCCGGAGTAGTCGGAGCCAGGAATGAAGGGTAAATGTGGTTTTTCTTGGTACTTGCCCAGAATTTGGAGGTAATTGGCGTAGTTCAAGCTTGTGGCTTTGACTTTCACTCTGACTGAAGTTAAAGAGTTCAGCTTTGGGATTGGGTGCGAGGTTGAGACAGCCAGTGCGGAGCTTCCCGATGAGTTTGGGGGTTGTGTGGGGTCGCCGATTTTTCTGCAGAGTAGAGCTTCCATTGAGTGATTTTGAATTTTTTTCCCGGTAGGAGAGAGAGAGAGAGATTCTAGTTCTAGGGCTTTTCAGTTCCTTCGGCTTCTATCTTTCTTCGTGATCTTCGTCTTTGAGGAGAGAGAGAGAGATATTAAACTAGGGTTAATCTCACTTTGTACCCTTGAACGAAAATTTAATTTTTAATTTATACTCTTAAATATTAAAAATTTTAATTTATACTTTTAATATTATAAATTTATAGTAACATGGACTTGACCCAGACCACTATTTAGTTCTTCATCTTAAATTGATGGTGCAAGTATTTCCGGTGTGAGAATGAAGTATGTTCATTGATACAAATCTTTGTTTGTGATTAATTTGATATTATTTTATGTATTAAAAATAAAATTTATTAATTAAATAAAAACTAGTCCTATCATATGCAACTTATACGAGACGTTAATAGTACGTGAATTTGTATATAAACCCATGATTGAAGTACTTGCAATTCACGTGCTTCAATTTATGATGTAAAAATTAAATGACAATTTATGTAAGTTTTATATTTTTATAAATTCATAACTTTAAGGGTATAAATTAAAATTTTTAATGTTTGATGCTATAAATTAAAAATCATAGTATCTTTTAGGGTACAAAATAAAATTAGCCCATTAATCTTATTTGTCCTTACTGGTCAGCGTGTTAGGATACGAAGCAAATGTCAACACTTCACAACTGGAGCTCGGCTGGAGCTACACCTACACGTTAGTTTCCTACGGTTTTCTCTCTCTCTCTCTCTCTCTCTCTCTCTCTCACTCACTCACTCAACTCGGGCTCAACAAAAGGCCTGGGGACCATGGGCTTGTTAGTGAATCTGAAGGATTATGGGCTGGGCAT